TCTTTCCCTCGTCTAATTTGTGCTTTTTTTCTCCCTAGAACAGCACAGACAGTGAGGGGAATTCTGATGATGCTGACTCAGCTTATGTAAGTATCTCCCACCAGCCCCTACCTGGAGAGTAAGGAGAACCAGAGATGCCTTTAATGCCCAGACCTTTTTGAGAGGATTTATGTGTGGAATTCCAGGAATTCCTTCTGCTCCTCAGCTGCGGCATTGTGGGGGGAAAGAGGAGCCACCCAATCCTTTTGGGCTTATGAAACCCCAGAAAGAACTCTTGTTTAGCCTTCCATTCTTTCTCTGGACCCTTTGACATGCTTCGTATCATTTTCCCATATTTTTAAACCTATTGATATTTTTTCCCTTAGTTCCTCTGGTATTCTTATTGTCAAATGTCTGTGTCTACTCTTGGATTCATTTCCCTTTTTTTCGTTCTATTACCACACTTCCCATTCTCTTCAGTCTCCCAATCCCATGTCCATCCAATGCAATTTCTTCCCTTCCTTTCCCATCTCACAACCCCTCTCTCTGTTCCTAGATGGAGTATCCCTATGGAGAGCTCATCATCTCCCTGGGCTTCTTCTTTGTCTTCCTTTTGGAGTCACTGGCATTGCAGTGCTGTCCTGGGGCTGCTGGAAGATCAAAAGTGCAGGAGCAAGAATGGGGTATGGCTAATGTCCTTGAACCCCATAGCCACGGACCTCTACCCTCACCATCACGAGGTCCCCTGCGAGCCCTCGTCCTCTTGCTCTCACTCTCCTTTCACTCCGTGTTTGAAGGTCTAGCTGTGGGACTGCAGCCAACGGTCGCAGCTACCGTGCAGCTCTGTCTTGCCATCCTGGCTCACAAGGGGCTCGTAGTGTTTGGTGTAGGACTGCGGCTGGTTCAGGTAGGCACTGGATCACGTTGGGCCATGCTCTCCATACTGTCGTTAGCTCTCATGTCCCCCCTGGGCCTAGCCCTAGGGCTGGCTGTGCCTCAGGGAGTCTCTGAAGGAGGGCAAGGCTTGGCCCAGGCTGTGTTAGAAGGCATGGCAGCTGGCACCTTCCTGTATGTCACCTTCCTGGAAATTCTGCCCCGGGAGCTCGCAAGTCCTGAAGCCCCTCTGGCCAAGTGGGGCTGTGTAGCTGCCGGTTTTGCTTTCATGGCCTTTATTGCCTTGTGGGCCTGAGAGATTCCTGACTTTTCTGATGGATCTAAGATGACCTCCCTACCCCCAAGAGATGCCTCCCAAATGACCTTAGCCCTCTGACATTTCTTCACTGAGACAAAGTGACGTTCACTAGGCATCATTCTGTAACCTGGACCCCAGCTTTTCGCTACGCGAGATGCCATTTCTCATGCAGGACTGAGAAAAGGATGTTTCAGTTGAGTGCCTATAAATTGGAGGACTGATATAAAGACCATCACTCCAGATTTGACTCTTGTCCCGTTTATGCTACTGTGTGTAATAAAATGTCCGTTTTATCCTTCCCCTTCAGCCATGCTATACTTCATTTCTCCAGGTTGCCTAGGAGGTACCTGGCACAGGAGGTGGTGGAGTGGAGAGCGGGAAGGGCGAGTGTGGGATGCAGTCTTCTTTTCTGGAATTGGGCCCCCAGCCATTCTGTCAGTTGTAGGCCATGCCTCTCGAGACATGGGAGCGTTGCTGAAATTCCAACGACCTACTACCACCTTATGCACAGGTGTTGAGAAACCGAGCCAGAGTTCCCAGCATTTAGAGAGAAGAGGTTAAAAAACAGAAACCACAGGGATCTAGATTTTTTTCCTATGCTAACCACACCTACCCCACTCCCAGTCTCCCACAAAGTGTCCAACAGACTCTTGAGATAAGGCTAAATGGAGCCTATTTCCATCTGGTTCCTACGTTTCACACTGAGCCCTGTGTGGCTTCAGGGCCACTCTTGCTCTTCTTTGCGCCTCTGTCTCCCTGCAGCTGCCTTGTGCTGAGGGATTAAGAAGCATTGTGTTTGGAGAGGGAGAAAGGCAGCAGAGAAATGCCTGGGGTGATCACTTGGCTCTGGCACGACTTAGCGGTTTTCCTTCTGCATGCCTGACCTGCCGCTAGGGCTCCAGCCCCTCCCTGCTAGACAGTTTGCCTTTCAGTTGAGTAACTCCCACAATGTGTTGCTTCTCTTAAAAGCTGCTAAGGACATACACATTATGTGCAACTGAGGAGGAGCAGGGTGGCTGTTGCCCAGCCCCTGACCCACGAGATGGAGGAATATATCAGACTTAGTGGAGAAATTGGGAAAGAGAAGGTGTGCCCTGTGAGCTCAACAGTTTACCACTTTGCCCCTTCTCATATTTTCGGTGTGGAAGCCCAAGTGGCCTTAACATGGACAAGGTCTCCTGAGTTTCATTCTTGTCTCAGTCTGTCCAATGTCCATCCCATTCCCCTCCCCATAAATTAAGATACACAAACCTCCTCACCAGCCCAGCTTACACACACAGGGATCAGTGAGAAGGCAAGC